CCTGCGAGTGCAATGTTCCCAGGCCGATGCAGATCCTTGCTGTGCTGCTCCTCAGCTGTCAGCAGGGAGCACCCCGCTGCCAAACCCTCGCCACCCTGAGCACAGCACAGCCCCACGGCTACCGGGGGCCCCTGCATCCCTCTGCTCCCATGCTGTGGGAGTTTTCCCACTGCTCCGGAGAAGGGATGTGGCACACGGCATTTCTCAGATACTGGAGGCAGAGAGCAGACCTAACTAGGAGCAAGTTCTTATGAATGAGCCAGAGGTGCTGCCTTCTCCCTAAGGAAGCACTTGCCCAGCCACCAGCCTGTGAGAGCCAGGGCTGTCCCAGGCTGCTTGGCCATGGGGCACTGCTGGGCCGACCTGTGGACAAGGACGGGGTGCTGCACCCTCGGCTCCAGCTTGTTTGCAGGCTCTGCCCTCTGTGGAGGTTCAAGGCAAGAGGATGAAGGTCTGGACAGGACTGTGTGAGGTGAGCAGCCCCAAAGCCGTGTTTCCTGCACAAGGGTAGGACAAGCCACGGCACTGGAGAAAAGCCGGGCCCTTTCCCAGCGACAAAGGCAGGAGCTGCCTGCACAGCTCTGCCCGTCCCCCTGCCCTGCGCTGCTCCCAGCTCAGCCCCACATCCCTGGCTGCTTCCCAGGGCAAAGCCAGCTCTGCTTTCCAGCATGGCGCCACGCGCTGCCAAGCTGCCCCACAAATCCCTGCCAAGGCCCAGGCAGCCCCTCTTGTGTCCGTGTCCCCATCCCACAGATAGAAGCAGCACCACAAACAGAGCAGCGAGTCATCCCGTGGGGACACGGCACTGGAGACATCATCCTCAGCACAAGGTGGTTCAGCCTGGACCATGCCAGTGCCAAACCCTGCACCTTGCCAGCTGAAGCTCAGGCCTGGCACTTCCCTGCTGTGCCGCAGCCTTCCACGGCTGCTTCCTCCTGCTCCTGTCAGGCCCCCTGGCCGCAGGGACACTGCCCTGGTCCTCCGCTGGCCACTGACCCAGACCTGCAGGGAGGAAGCCCTCCCACACAGACAGGATGCCCCGGTCCCTGCCTCCATGCAGAGGCCCTGCAGCGCTCTGGGGGTCTGCAGAGCAGAAGCTGGAGCCGTGCACACCCGCAGTCCCGTGCCCCAGCCGCTGCTCACCTGGTGTTTGGTGTGTGGCTGTGCTTTGTCTCTGTTCGGGGGCTGCACCTGCACCTCGCTATGCATCGTGCCGATGGGGGTGGGCTGGGGACACAAGGACAACATCAGCCATGGCATGCGAAAACACTCCAGAATCAGGGCCTGATCTCAGCCCCTACCCCTACCCCAGCAGCTCCACCCTCAGTGCGTGGCTGCAGGGAGCTCACAGAGGGTGCCCATGGCAGGACTGACTGCTGGGCTCCTCTTAGCTCCAGGAGCCTCAAATTTCTGTCTCACAGCTTTAACTCATCAGCACGACAGCCCCAGCTTGGAGCTGGCTGCTGGTGTCTGGCAAGGACTGGTGAAGCTGATCTTTCAGGTACAGACGTGCATGGCAGGGATGACTGCTGGTCTGCATCCTACCTGCCTGCTGCCACAGACCACACTGACCCCCCACCACTGCCCACTGCCCCTTTGGGCGCCCTGGGGCTCAAGACCTTCTGCCCACCCCTGCTCCTTCACCACTCACCAGGGGTTTCCCTGCCCAGTCGTATTCGTAGTCGAACACATAACCATTCCTCTCGAACAAGTCTGTGAAGAGCTTCCGCAGGTAGTCGTAGTCCGGCTTCTCAAAGAAATCCAGCCGCCGCACGTAGCGCAAGTACGTGGCCATCTCCTCTGTGGGGACAGAGTGGGCTCAGTTGGGGCAGGGGGACAAGATGCCAGCGGGCTCTGGGGACAGGCTGGGGACAGGCTGTCCTCACCTGGGAAGTTCTCACAGAGCACCTCCACCGGAGTGGCTCTTTTGGTGTCGCCAATCTTCTGATACCTCTCCTTTAGCGTGTCAGCCTGGCACAGACAAGGAGCGCGTCAGTACAAGGGTCCAGGAGAGGGGAAGGCACTGGGTGCCGTCAGACCACGAATGGTTTCTTGATCCCCCTTTTCCAGGTACCAGCAATAGCTCGTTCCCAGGGAATGCCCTCACCAGGGCCAAGGCAGCCACTGAGAGCAGCCGTGTTACCCACAAAGTGGGGGGACACAGAGAGGGACACATCTACAGCCGTTCAGCACAGCGGGGGCCTGGCACAGAGCTCAGAGCAACAATCCCTGCATCCGCCGAGGCGTCAGCCCTCCCCAGCCGGGCAGGAAAAGCTTCTCCCACTCCCCTGACACTGGCTATGTCAGAGCAGAGCCAGCTCCACGGAGGAGCAGGAGCTGGCAGTTACCTTGAGGCCTTGCCAAGGAAGGCTCCCACGGAGGAAGTACATAAACATGTGCCCTAATGCTTCCAGGTCATCCCTGCGGCTTTGTTCTGCATGGAGAGAAAAAGAAAAAAAAAAAAAAAAGAAGAGATGCAGGCATGTTCCTGCTACAGCCACCTCCCCTGTCCCCACCAGACCTTGCAGCACTCCAAGTGCCCTGCCAATGGCCCAGGCTGAGGAGCAGCAGAGGCCGTTTGTCCCCAGCCCTACCTCTGAGGGAGGAGCTCACACCCTGGAGGCTCCTTCCCTCTCCCTTCTCCCACACCGTGTGCACGCACCTTTCCCAAGGTGGGTGTTGATGCTCATGTAGCGTGCTGTCCCTGTCAGGCTCTTGTGCTCTCGGTAGGGGATGTGTTTTTTGGTCTCGGGGTCAATATACTCTTTGGCCAGGCCAAAATCGATGATGTGGATGGTGTGCTGCCGCTTGCTGCCCGGCCGCCCCACCAGGAAGTTCTCTGGCTTGACGTCTCTGTAGATCAGGCTTTTGGTGTGGACGTACTCCATCCGCGTGATCTGAGGGCACAAGATGTCAGCACCATGGCAATGACTGGAGCCTCCCTGTGCCCTCCTCTGCTCCAATTGCCTCGAACCCGGCAGCAGCCCTGCTCCCCTCAGCCCATGCATCACCCTGGGTGGAAAGGATGGGCACAGCAGGTCCTCCAGCCCTGGGAGACAACCTCAGACCAGCTGCATCTCGGATACATGGCAAGAGGTGCTCATCTGTGCTCAGAGTGGGGCTACATGGAGGTGAGGGAGAGCCCTCCCACATCAGGGAGAGGATGAGGTACGGAGAGAGGGATGTCCTACAGCTTGCTGGGCTCTGGCTCACCCCTTCTTCCCCTCTCCTTCCCTGTGGAGTCCCCACACAGCCCAAGTGCTGCACCCACACGTCACCCTGCTCCCCCAGAGTGGTCAGTGGCCAGGTGGGGTGTGAGGGGTGCAGAGCCGCAGGTGAGGCTGAGGTGCGGTGCTCACCAGCTGGATCGCGATCATCAGGACAGTCTTGAGCGTGAAGGTCCGATCGCACAGATCAAAGAGATCTTCGAGGCTGGGTCCTAGCAGCTCCAACACCATGGCGTTGTACTTCCCACAGGGGCCAAAGTAGTAAACCTGAGGAATTCCTTCTGCGAGAGAGGCAGTGGGGGCTGTCAGGGGTTGCAGCGGGGCTAAGCAGCAAACGGCCACGCTGTCACGGCCGAGCCATTGCTGGAGCTGGGACGGGGGCTGCAGATGGGGGGGACGTCTCACAGACAGCC